CCAGCCAAACTAAGCTTCATAAATGAAGGAAAAATAAAATTTTTCACGAACAAGCAAGCACTCAAAGATTTCATCACCACCAGGTTTGCTTTACAAGAGCTTCTGAAAGAAGCATTACACACAGAAAGGAACAACCAGTATCAGTCATCCCAAAAACTTACCAAAAGGTAAAGAGTATTTTCATAATGAAGAATCTATATCAACTAATGGACAAAATAGCCAGAGCATTAAATGACAATATTAAGCTCACAAATACCAATATTAATCCTAAATGTAAATGGATTAAATGCCCCAATCAAAGACACAGACAGGCAAATTGAATAAAAAGTCAAAACACATTGGTACACTGTATCCAGATCCATCTCATAAGCAAGGACACACAAAGACTCAAAACAAAATGTTGGAGGAAGACTCACCAATCAAATGGAGGGAAAAAAAACCCAAAAAACAGGAGTTGTAACTTTCATCTCTGACAAAATAGACTTTAATAGTAACAAAGACTAAAAGAAACAAAGAAGGACATTACATAATGGAAAAAGGATCAATGCAACAACAGGAGTCAATGATTATAAATATATATGCACCCAATATAGGAACACCCAGATACATAAGACAAGTTCTTAATGACTTATAAAGAGACTTGGACTTCTGTATAATAATAGCAGGAGACTTTGACACCATGTTGTTAATATTCAATGGATCAATGAGACAGAAAATTAACAGGGACATCTATGATTAGAATTCAGACCTGGAACAAGTAAACTCAGTGAATATTTATGGAATTCTTCACTCCAGGTCCACAGAGCATACATTTTTCTCAGTATCATATTACACCTATTTTGAAAGTGACCATATAATTGGAAGTAAATCACTCTTCAGCATTTGCATAGCATTTCATAGACTTAAATGAAATATTGTTTGGCTGTTTGTTATTTTCTTCCTTTATTCCTTTCTGTCTCCACTGTTAAGCACAATTATCGGCATAAAAGAGGTTTTTAATACCTATTTTTAGATTTCATTCCAGCCTGGGCAATAGAGCAAGACTCCTGTTCTCTCTCCCCCTTTCTCTTTCCTTCTTTCTAAAAAAACAACAACAACAAAACAAAAACAAAAACAAAAAAACTAAAGAGCTTCTGCACAGTAAAAGAAGCTATTATCAGAGTGAATGGGCAACTTACAGAAAGGGAGAAAATTTTGCATTCTATTCATCTGACAAAGGTTTAATATGCAGAATCCGCAAGGAACTTAAACTAATTTACAAGAAAAACACCATAAAAAAGTGGGCAAATGATATGAACAGACTCTTTTCAAAAGAAGATATTTGGTGGGGCATGGAGGCTTGTGCCTGTAATCCCAGCATCTTGGAAGGCTAAGGTACATGGATTATGAGGTCAGAAGTTTGAGACCAGTCTGGCCAATGTGGTGAAATCCCGTTTCTACTAAAAATACAAAAAATTAGTCGAGTGTAATGGTGGGTGCCTGTAATTTCAGCTACCTGTGAGGCTGAGGCAGAAGAACATCTTGAACCCGGGAGGTGGATGTTGCAGTGATCCTGCCACTGCACTCCAGCCTGGATGAAAGAACAAGACTTCATCTCAAAAAAATAAATAAATACAAACGTTTATGTGGCCAAAAGACATGAAAAAAAGCTCAGAGTCACTGGTCATTAGAGAAATGCAAATCCAAACTACAATGAGATACTGTCTCATGCCAGTTAGAATGGCAAATATTAAAAAGTCAGGAAACAACAGATGCTGGCGAGGCTGTGGAGAAATAGAAATGCTTTTACACTGTTGGTGGGAGTGTAAATTAGTTAAACCATTGTGAAGGACAGTGTGGCAATTTCTCAAGGATCTAGAACCAGAAGTGCCATTTGACCCAGCAATCCCATTCCTGGGTATATACCAAAAAATATGAATCATTCTACTATAAAGACATGCACACATATGTTCATTGTGGCACTGTTTACAACAGCAAAGACTTGGAACCAACCCAAATGTCCATCAGTGATAGACTTGATAAAGAAAATGTGGCACATATAGACCATGGAATACTATGCAGTCATAAAAGAGAATGAGTTCAAGTCCTTTGCAGGGATGTGGATGAAGCTGGAAACCATCATCCTCAGCAAACTAACACAGGAAAAGAAAACCAAACACCACATGTTCTCACTCATAAGAGGCAGTTGCATAATGAGAACACATAGACACAGGGAGGGGAATATCACACTCCTGGGCCTGTCAGAGGGTGGGGGAAAAGGGGAAGGAGGGCATTAGTACAAATACCTAATGTATGCGGGGCTTAAACCTAGACGGCAGTTGATAGGTTCAGCAAACCACCATGGCACATGTAAACCTATGTAACAAACCTACATGTATCCCAGAACTTAAAGTCAAAAAGAAAATGCACTAATGCTGAGGAGGAGTGAAAGTAGGGGAGGTAGTGGGGCAGTGGGGTGGGTCCTGGAGCTTTATTTGATTAGTGGTGCTGGGGTGGGAACCGCTCAATCAGGCGAGCGTTTGGAGGAGAAGAGAACGTGGCTTCCGGTGTATGGCGGGGCTTTTGTCTCTCCCTCCTGCCAGAGCCTGCGATACGCCTCCAGTGTTCTCCATCTTCCACCTCTGGAGCCCCCGGTGGCTCCCCCACCACCTCTATTGCCCTGTGATCTGTAAGTCTTTGGGAAGGCATAGATAAGACACCAGGACATCCTGGAACCTGGGAAATGGTGAGTTTGCCGGGTTGTGCATTCTGCCAGGGGAGACCAAGGAACGGCCTCCCCATGGTCAGCTCCAAGTCTCAGGGGCAGCTTGGCCCTCAGCCCCCTCTGGCCACAAGATGATGGCTGGCTCAGCAGCGGGGACCCCCGCATCTTGCCCTGCACCATCCGGTCCCGTTTCTGTGTGGCTCCCTGCTCTGCACCCACAGCCCCAAGTATTCCCCAGATTGTTCAGGTGTGCTAGGTGGGTCATCGCTCGGAACCCTGACTCGGTGTGTGCATGAGAGAAGCTGCGGCCCTTTGGGTTCCCAGTCTCTCCTGTTAAAAATCGAAGGGAGTCCGTGTTAAAACGTTAACCAGTTTGAGTAATCAGTGATTGGTGAAATGGAAAGCACTCAACCATGATTTGTGGTCCACCCGAGGGGCATGAAGAAATGGTTTGGATGAGAAACAACCCAAGTTCAAGAATTGGTTACAGTTATGCAGTCACCATATGTGAACTAATCAGATGAAAATTTCCTGGTTATATAACCAGAGGTTAGTTGCAGGTTTATGATTGGTTAAGCCTGACATTTGTTTCAGCCTAAGACGGTGAGTTATAAGAAATGCTTTTAGTTAGGTTTCAGATTTTTTAAACCTATGAACACAGAGCATTAGAGCCACTTTAGTTCAATTTTATTCTCTTTAATTATTTTTACATTCCAGAGGACTGGTTTTCCCTTGTGTTTTTCTAATGTATGGCAAGTGGGACCGCTAATTGTCCACCCTGTTTCCAAGCCTAACTTGGGCTTGCAGTAAAATTAAAAGTTTCCACTTCCTTTCCTGCATTCTCAAATGCAACAAATGAGGTCAACTTCCTTTTTCCAATTTACAATGCTATCAACTATTTGTCCTTTACTGTACATTGCATTAAACTTTTCTATTATTGGATTTCTTTCTACTTCTCCCTACAGTTCTGTCAATGTTTGCTTTTTATATTTAGAAACCCCACTTTTGGGTGCATAAATATACATAGCTGTATTCTCTTGACAAATTAACTTTTATTATCTGGTGAATTCACTTCACTCTTGTGACAGATGTTGGTAGAAAGTCTATTTTGTCTAATTTAAGCTTAACTACCATTGCATTCTTTTGTTTATTATTTGCATTAATATCATTTTCTATACTTTGACTTTTAGCCTGTGTTCTTAATTCAAAAGTGAGTCTCCTGTAAACAGTGTATTATGGGCTTTAAAAAATTTATTTAACCACTCTGTTTTAGTATCTTTTGTGCTGCTATACCAGAATAGCACAGACTGCTGTTGATGAAGAAGAGAAGTGTATTTGACTCAAGATTCTGGAGGCTGGGAAGGTAAAAGAACATGACACTGGCATGTGTTGAAGGTCTTGTTGCTGGAGAATAACATAACCAAAGATCTAAGAGAGATACTTTTTTTTAAATAACAGATCCATTCTTGTTATAATCAACCCAATCCCATTATACAAACATTAATCCATTCTTGAGGGCAGAGTGCTTATAGCCTAATTAATTCTTAAAGGTCTCACCTCTTAATTCTATCACACTGGCTATGAAATTTTCTCCTAAATTTTGGAGATGATATCCAGTCTATAGCAGTATCTGTTTATTAGATAATTTAATGTCTTAAATGTAAAGTAGTGATAGGTAAGCAGTTACTATTGTAACTTTGTAGTTTTCTGTCTACTTAAAATTGGCTTCTTTTTTTTCTTGTTCTGTCTTTCCTGTGGTTTTGTTAATTTTTGTTGAGCCAGGGCTATACTTTCTTGCTCAGACTGAAGTGCAGTGACATATCACAGCTCACTGTAGCCTCAAGCTCCTGGGCTTGAGCAATCCTCCCACCTTAGCCACTTAAGTAGCTTGGACTACACACATGAACCACAATACCCAGCTAATTTTTTTTTGGTAGAGATAAGTTTTTCTTATGTTGTTCAGATTGGTTTCAAACACTGGAGCTTATGATTCTTCCACCTTGGCTTCCCAAAGTGTTGGAATTATAAGCAGGAACCACCATATATTATGTTTAATTTTTATTGTTTTTATATGTTTTAATTGCTTTCTCTTTTCCTACTTTTTATTTACTACAGTTTGTTTTCCTAATGGTTATCATGAGACTTACATACAACATCTTGTATTTTAACAGTCTAGTTTAAGATAAGAACAATTTAGAGTATTCTAAATTTCACTATGAAGTTATAATTTTAAGTGATATTTATAGTTTAGTATTTTTCATATTGTTAGTAAGCATTTCATTTTATCAATATAAGGATTTCTTCCAGACCGTGACTGAGAAGTAAAGAAGGTGGGTTTTGCCTGATTTAGAGACTACAGACAGAATCAAGTTCTGCAGGCCTGTCACCTGAGTCTCAGGTGAGCATGAATTCTCCTGGGTTTTTGGCAGATGGTTGCAGTGACAGGATCAAGGCCTAGTGAGTTATAGCTAAGTCTACAGTGAGATATGGCAGTATTCTGTTTTGAAGTTGGGACTATCATAGGCAAACCTGCCGCTTGGTCAAAATTCTTCTCTCATGATGTCTTCCTTGGTCTTTGCCTCCAGCTGGGTGTCACAAACCATGACCTGGATCCCAAAGCTTCCATAAATGCACTTTTGTTTGCCATGGCTGCCACATTATGTTGTGGGGGATGTGCATACAGAACCTCCCATTCTGTCATCTTGCTTATGCTATCTCCTTTATGTTTTGCTTTCTGAAATGAATGTCAAGTTTGTGATTTGTAGATTCAATAGTTCTAAAATAAATTGCTCAAATATAGACATTATGTAAGCTGTGAATAATATTTCTTGTAGGTACTACATATTTATTAATATTTTGGTTGTAATTTTAAGCTCACTGTAGGCAGAAAGGAACCATTAAAATTTATATATTTTGGTCTGTATTTAAATGATGGTACTTAATTTCAAATCATTTAGTTTCAAAACTAGATCTTATGTCTAGTGTTTTTTTAAATTTACATTGCTGAAGGTCAGACATAAAACTCACCTACTGTTACCAGGTGCTGGCTACTTTGTGTTTCAATTCTGTAAAATGTTACTTCATGTATTTGGGAACTGTGATGTTAGGCACATATGTTAATACTTGTTACTGCTTCCCTGTCAATAGACCCATTTATTATTATATAAGGCCTTTTGTGCTTGTATTTTGTGGAAGTTTTTGAAATAACATGTATTTTGTCAAAAATGACAGTGTTTGACTTCTCATCTGATATTTTAAAATTGTTTTTATGTACAGGCCATATGTGTTCCAGATTGTAATTTGGTCACTTGTAGGGAGCATAAAGTTGGATCCTGTTTCTTGAATTTATTTAGTCAAAGTGTGTTTTTGATTGGCAATTTATTTATATATAATGTAATTACTAAAAGGGAATGATTTTCTGTTGTATTTTGTTTCTTTTTCGTTTTAGGTTCTGTAGCTATTTTGTTCCTGTTTTTCTCTCTTTCTGTCTTTATCAGTGTATTATAGATTTTTGTAATGATGTTTTAATTTTTTTCTCACTATTCTGTGCATGCACATGTGTTTGTGTACTATAGGTATTTCCTTCCTTCCTCTCTGTCTCTGTCTCTTTCTCTTTCTTTCTTTATTTAATTTTTATTTTTTGAGACAGGGTCTTGCTCTGTCACCCAGACTGAAGTGCAGTGGCACAATCTCTGCTCACTGCAACCTCTGCCTCTCAGGCTAAACTCAAGCAATCCTCCATCTCAGCCTTCTAAGTAGCTGGGATCACAGATATGCACCACCACTCCTGGCTAATGCTTGTTATTTTTCATAGAGACACGGTTTTGCCATGTTGCCCAGGATAGTTTCAAACTCCTAAGTCCTATAGGTGTTTTCTTTATTGTTACTAATATCTATAGTAGCAACAACAAAATTGCCTTTATATGACTCTCCATTGTGTTTTATTTATGTGACAAATTATGTGATTTTGTATTGTGAATCTAATGGCACAGATTTATAGTCATTTTTAAGTGTTTGTTTCCTCAAATCTATAGCAGAATTAAAAGTATTCTGTGTACCTTCATTACAAAAACAAAAAGCTTATATTTGTGTATATAATTATCTCTACTAGAAAACTTTATATTTTAAATAGTTTTTTTGTTTTGTTTTGTTTTTCTGAGACAGAGTTTCGCTGTTGTTACCCAGACTAGAGTGCAATGGCACGATTTCGGCTCACTGCAACCTCTGCCTTCTGGGTTCAAGCAATTCTCCTGCCTCAGCCTCCCGAGTAACTGGGATTACAAGCGTACACCACCATGCCCAGCTAATTTTTGTATTTTTAGTAAAGACGGAGTTTCACCTCATTGACCAGGATGGTCTTGATCTGTTGACCTCGTGATCCACCCACCTTGGCCTCCCAAAGTGCTGGGATTATAGGCGTGAGCCACCGTGCCTGGCCTATTTTAAATAATTTTATGTTGCTTTCATTATTATTTTATTTATTTAAAAATTTTTTTTGAGATGGAGTTTCGCTCTTGTTACCCAGGCTGGAGTGCAATGGCACAATCTTGGCTCACCGCAACCTCCACCTCCTGGGTTCAGGCAATTCTCCTGCCTCAGCCTCCTGAGTAGCTTGGATTACAGGCATGTGCCACCATGCCCAGCTAATTTTTGTATTTTTAGTAGAGATGGGGTTTCATCATGTTGACCAGGATGGTCTCGATCTCTTGACCTCGTGATCCACCCACCTCGGCCTCCCAAAGTGCCGGGAGTACAGGTGTGAGCCACCGCACCCGGCCTATTATTTTATTTTTTAATGTGAATAACTGACTTTTTAGCATTTTTTTATGACAGGCCTAGTGGATATAAATTTATACAGCTTTTGTTAAATATTCTTTGTTTTCTTAATTCATTTGAAAGGAGAGTTTTGGCAGAGTTTAGTGTTCTTAGTTGGGGCTTGCCATTTTTTCAGCATTTTGAGTATATCATCCTACAACCTCTTGCCTATAAATATTTTTGCTGAAACATCTGCTGGTCATCCTATAGGAGTAGTCTTGTACATGCTAAGTTGCTTTTTCCTTGCTGACTTCAAGATTCTCTGTTTGTAGCATTTGAATCTTTGCCTATAATGTGTCTTCTTGTGGCCTTTCTGTGTTGCTACTAGTTAGAGTTGATAAAGTTTTAATAAATTTTAGGTCATTTTCTCCCTCAAATTTTAAGAGTTCTCAACCAGTGTTTGTTTCTGGAAATAACTTTTCTGCTCTATTTTTTCTCTTTTTATTTTAGAATTTCCATTGTGAGTCTATTGGCCATCTTAATGGTATCCCATAAGTCCCTTAGGCTTTCTTGATTAAAAAAAATTATTTTTACCCTCCTCAACCTGTAATTTCAAATGACTTGTTATCAAGTTTGCTGGATTTTTATCCTGCTAGATGAAAACTGCCGATGAACCCACTAGTGAATCTTCATATTCAGTTATTTTACTTTTCAGTACCATACTTTTTGTTTCCATTTTATAGTTTTAATCTCTTTGTGGATAATCTCATTATCTTCATGCATTGTTTTCTTTTTCTGTTTAGTTTTCTATGTTCTTCTTTAGCTGACTGAGCATGTTTAAGCTAGGTGTTTTAGCCAGGCACAATGGCATGTACCTGTAATCTCAGCTACTTTGAAAGCTAAGGCAAGAGGATTACAGTATTAGTCTATTCTCATGCTGCTTATAAAGACATACCTGAGACTAAGTAATTTATAAAGAAAAAAGATTCAATGGCCTCAAGTTTCACATGGCTAGGAGACCTCACAATTATGACAGCAGGCAAGAGCTTGTACAGGAGAACTTCCATTTATAAAATCATCAGATCTCATGAGACTTATTTGCTATCATGAGAACAGCATAGGAAAATCCCATCCTCATGATTCAATTATCGCCCACCAGGTCCCTGTCATGACATGTGGGGATTATTACAATTCAACGTGAAATTTGGCTGGGAACACAGAGCCAAACCATATCAATTACTTAAGCCCAGGAGTTTGAGATCACCCTAAGCAATATTGTGAGAAACTGTATGTAAAAAATATTTTTACAAATTAGGCATGATGGAATATTTCTGTAGTCCCTGGAACTTGGAGGCTGAACTAAGAGGATTGCTTAACTTCCCCAGGAATTTGAGGCTGCAGTGAGCTATAATCATGGCATTGTATTTTTGTCTGGATGAGAGAGTAAGACTTCTTTTTTTAATTTCAAAGAGGTACCTATGCAGGTTTGTTACATGGGTATATTGTATAATGCTGAGGTTGGAAGTATGAATGATTCCATCATGCAGGCAGTGAGCATAGTACCAAACAGGCAGTTTTTCACTTCTTGGCCGCCTTCCTCTATCCACTCTCTACAAGTTGTCAATTATTTTTATGTTTATGTCCATGTGTAATCAGTGTTTATTTTCCACTTACAAGTGAAAATATGCAGCATTTTCATTTTGCATTTCTGCACTAATTTGCATAGAATAATGGATGGTAGTTGCATTTATGCTGCTGCAAAAGACAAAATTTTGGGTTTCTTCATGGCAAAGTAGTATTTCATGGTGTATATGTGCCACTTTTTTTTATTCAATTCACCATTAATAGGCACCTAGGTTGATTTATGTCTTTCCTATTATGAATAGTGCAGTGATGAACATACAAGTTCATGGGCTATTTTGGTAGAATAATTTATTTTCTTTTAGGCATATACCCAATAATGAAATTGCTGGGTTGAATTATAGTTCAACTCTCAGTTAGTTGGAAAGTCTCCAAGCTGCTCTCCATAGTGGCTGAACTAATTTATATTCCCAGCAATGGTGTATAAGTGGTTCTTTTCCCCCTTCTGAAACCTCATCAACATGTTATTCCTTTACTTTTTAATAAAAGCAATTCTGACTGGTGTAAGATGGTGTTTTACTGTGATTTTGATTTTCATTTCTTTGATAGCTACTAATGATAAGCCTTTTTTTGATGTTATTTGGCCACTTGTATATATTCTTTTGAATAGTGTCTGTTAATGACCACTTTTTCATGGAGTTATTTTTCGTTTGTGAATTCTTTAAGTTTCTTACAGATTCTCAATGTTAGATTTTGTCAGAGTTTTAGTTTGTGAATGTTTTTTTCATTCTGCTAGCTTTGGGGTTAATTTGTTCTTATTTTCCTAGTTTCTCTAAGTGTGATGTCAAATTGTTAGTTTAAGATTTTTCCGGCCAGGCGCAGTGGCTCACGCCTGTAATCCCAGCACTTTGGGAGGCCAAGGCGGGTGGATCACGACGTCAACAGATCAAGACCATCCTGGTCAACATGGTGAAACCCCGTCTCTACTAAAAATACCAAAAATTAGCTGGGCACGGTGGCATGTGCCTGTAACCCCAGCTACTCAGGAGGCTGAGGCAGGAGAATTACCTGATTCCAGGAGGCGGAGGTTGCGGTGAGCCGACATCGCGCCATTGCACTCCAGCCTGGGTAACAAGAGCGAAACTCCGTCTCAAAAAAAAAAGATTTTTTCAAACTTCTTGATGCTGGCATTTAGCACTATAAACTTTCCTCTTAATGGTGCTTTTGCTACATCCCAGAGATTTTGGTATATAGTGTATTTTATTATTAAAAAAATTAATTTCTGCCTTAATTTTATTCTTTAACCAAAATTCATTCAGGAGCATGTTGTTTAATTTCAATCTTATTCTATGGTTTTGTGAGATATTCTTGGTATTGATTTTTATCTTTGTTCCATTGTGGCCTGAGAGTATGGTTGACAAGATTTCAGTTTTTAAAAATACATTGAGAATTGCTTTATGGCTAGCATAT